AAATAAACCATGTTGTCTGTGTAGGCTAAACACATCCATATAAAAATAGAGCTGAAGTATGGGAAGGTGTTTGGGAGAACATCTAGACAATACATTTCCACAGCAAGGTTGGGAATGCATAAAAAGAAAGCTCAGGTTTCTAATTCCAATATTTCTTGCCTTTAGACTGTTATAATGAGCAGTGCATTACTTAAAATAATGTTGTTAGTTGCTGTAAGATCATTTTCTTTGGTAATTATTGGGTGTGTTTACTTTGGTGAACTCTTACGGTTTCATTTAGCCAGAACATACATTGGCATTATCCAAATTTCTGTACTGCGAGTTTGGAATACATTCACTATAGTGTTGTAGTAAAGTTGCACTTTGCATCATGAAGCCACATATAAGAATATTTCCTAAAATAAACTTGTTTAAAAGGTAAAGTAAAAACTGTATTCAAGTACTGTAACAGACAAGAGCACACTATAGTTTATACAGTATCGTTCAAATCTGTCCACACTGAGTCAGTGAGAAGAAAAATGTTCTGTGTATGTTGCTGGCAATTAAACATGTATTCTGTTGATATGGTTGTTTTACTGGCCCTATAGACCTACTTGGGGCACATTGAAACACAAATTTGAAATAAATTTATGAAGCAAGTTTTAAGTTTGTAAAATATATGCAGGTGAAATCCTAACTAGGAATAAAAGATGTGAGCTAGCTTATTGTTTTGGTTGGGTTAGAAATATTAATTTTGTTCTTGTATAATAATTGTAAACCTGAGGAAGTATGTGATTAACAAATAGAAAAAAAGTACACTTTATGGAATGATAAAACATTATTGGAGATCTTTAGAATAATGTGCTGAAACATAAAAATAAGAAGTTCAAATCTGGAGCAAATGTAAGTATCTTAATTATTTCTTATAAAAAACCTTTTCTTAACATAATTTCCCAAGATCTCTAAGCTGATAATGCATAAAATGTAAATAAATCCAAGTTCCTGTTAGATTTCAATTTCATCTACTAGTTTTAATTTTGGAATGAAATTTCATGAGAAATACATAACCTGCTTCAAAAAGAAATAGCCAGATCTAATAGGATTAAAATAAAGTAGTATCATTAGTTACCAGAGATTTAGATGTTAAATATAGACATGAGAAATTTGATTAGAGAAGAAAAAACAAGCACAAAATCAAAAACTTTTTAACAGTATGTATTCTAAGAAGGTTTTTGTGATGCAAAAGTAGTTTTTGCTTTCAGTAATGTTTAAAAAACATGAAATTATAACTTATAAGAATTACTAACTTTTAGGATTACTTGAATGATCAATAAATTGTTCATTACTGGTTAACTCTCTCTATATGAGCTTGGTCATTTTGAACATCCTTGCAACTGTCACGTAACTATAAAACTATCACTAACTATAAAAAGCTCATTGTCTCTGTCGAGAACACTTTCATGCTCCATTTTTGGTAATGATCAGCAACATACATTGTCGCTTAGTAACAAAACTATCACCTGATTGTTCTTAGGCCAACTATGGAGTTTATGTTGAATGCTCAATATTCATGCTGACTTGTTAGAGAGTTTTGTTTTTTATTCTTTATTTTTTGATAACTTCAGCAATATAACAGCAAAATAATTTGATTCAGAAATTTTATGACACTGAGGTGTAGCTAAAAGCAAAATAATATTTACCAAGTAGTGTTTCAGCTAAGCTTTGTATTACGTTTATGTATTAAATTAGACTACAAATAGGCCTACTATTACTAACGTTATATAGTGAGTGTTTACAATGCTTTAAGTGGTGTATAAATGTTAATTAATAATTATTCTTTTAGTATTTTAAAACATCAGTGTCAAAGTAATTCTTTAACCCATTCCATGCAGCTGGTACATATATTTCTCAGTGCTCCCACCCCCTCATACTGTGACTGGGACAAATGTTTCCCATTTTCAATGCTGTTTATGCCTTCCTCTGCTTGGTCCAGGTTCATCCTCTTGTCTCATTACCTCTTCATCATCACAACATTGAACACCACTTGACTCACTTTCACTATCTTCTAAGCTATCTGAATCAAGAACATCAAGCATATTTACATAGCAATTAGGGTTACTACTCGCCATTCTATCGATGCTGGCACAGTCAGCATGCAGTTATCGTACATTCTGCTTAGGCATCTTGTTGGTTATTGAAGGGCTGATTTAAAGTATTGAAGGAAACCATATATCAACATTAGGTGGGATGCCAGTAAATACTTTCCGACTTATTTTATGCAGCAATTTTCAATGACAATAGGGAAACATTTGTTCCTGTTGTAGTGTGAGAGGGTGTGTTCACTGGGAAATATACATCCCAGCTGCAGTGAAAAGGCTATTCACCACATTTTTAATAAAAACTATGCAGAAAAATTAATTTTTATCGTGAACAATAGTACATGTTCTCCCTGAAAGCAACTTAAATAGCACTCTTGAGCCTTTTCACTGTATTCTATGTCGGGAAGTAGGAAACATAGTGCAGACATTCGGACAAAATATAAAAGATACTTGGTAGTAATAAACTTTTATTTTTCTTTGTGTTTTAAGGCTAAGTAGATAATATATGGGTTAAAATACCAAAAGAATATTTATTAATTAATATTTATTCACCACTTAACACTTTTTAAACACGGACTCTATAACATTAGTAATAGCAGGTGCTCTCACAAAATATGCACTCAAAGTTAGCAGCATAATTACTAAGTGAAGAGTACGTACATTTTGGAGGTACAGATAAATTTGTTTTAGTTTAAATTTTATAATTTTCGTTAATCATTCAACAATGGTTTCCATCATTTTTGGCAGGCTTTTATACTAGTACATTTTATAATGCGTAATGTATCTTCATGAAATTCGGCAAGCTTTTAGTAAACATTACAAGTCTTTTTGTATACAAAATATCAGATTTTTAACTAAGTATTTTTATTCAAGATTTGGCTGTGAATTTATGGAATCAAAGTTTGATTTGGACTCTGAATGTGAGGTGATTTTCATGTTAATAGTAATAATATTATTTTTTTCATCTTACAGTTTTCAAATTTCATTTGTGTAAACTCTAGAACCTCCTAAACTTTTTTATACATCTTATTTTCTCTACCCTAGCACTGTATTGGCTTGATCCCTTTGACCAACTTTCTAACAGCCATAAAAAAAGTAATAAGTCTAAATTATATTTTTTCTCTTTATATAATGAATGCAGATTAAAACCGAAAATTAGATATTTATATTATTAATTATTACTTTTTGAACTGTGTCTGACTACTAAACCTGCATAACAAGTTAGAAATCACCCAGCAAATTCATAGTTCAAGTTAAGTTTCTGAATTACATAACACTCAAACTTCTAGAATACATACTTTGTGGAGAAAGTAATTTATTATTGTTTTAATTTATTATAATGTATTTTTTTCCCCATTTACATTTGTTCTGACATGGTTAGGGAGCTTGACTCACAATCTGCAGGCCATGGATTCGATTCCCTGTCACACCAAACATGCAAGTCTTGTGTGAATGTTATAATGTTATGGTCAATCCCACTATTCATTGGTAAAAGAGTAGCCCAAGAGTTAGCAGTAGGTGGTGTTGACTACCTTCCTTCCCTCTAGCCTGTCACTGTTAAATTAGGAACAGCTAGCACAGATAGCCCTCGTGTAGCTTTGCACGAAATTCAAAACAAGCCAAACCAATCATTTATATTTTCTTATCTAACCTAATAAGTTTCTAATTTTTACATTTTAGTTACTTTTATAACAATAAATAAAAAACAATAGATTTAGTAATAACTTATGGGTCTTGTGCTTTTTTGCAGTTGAAGACTCAAGTGTCAATAAAAATTAACCCTGATTTTTACTAGAGTTGTTGTTAGTACTTTATTGAATTTTTATTTATTTCAAATATTCAATTTAGAACATAAAATAATAACATACACAAAGCATACAATGTTCTGTAGTTATTATAATTTAACTAAATTTCAAACTAAGCTTTGAGTATGTTAGAATAATTTCCGTATATGTGGTCAAGCTGAACTTGGAAATAGCAACTTTGAACCTGTGTGCTGAATAATTCAAAAGCTGTTTTGAGAGAAAGCTAGCACTATATGTAAATCAGTAGATTAAAATCATATCTTTCTATTGGTTATAAGTAATGTAATATCAAACATCAGAGAGAACTATTAACATTGTTTGAAAGAAAGTATGTGGTTTCAACTTTCTGGTTTATATCGTAAGTATCTAAAACAAGATGACTGTAAGCTATTAAGTTAAATTATGTCTTAGCAATATCTGTAATATAAGTTTATAATTTTCATTAAACTCAAAAGCTCAAGTAGGGTGAAAAGATTATCAAAATTATTGGAACAGTTGTCAAGTGATACAGAAAAGTAAAGATTGACAATTTATGTAAATATTCCCTTTTGAAATTAAGAAATTAAAAGCTTAAGTAATATTAGAATTTGATTTATTATCTACGTTTTGATGTGAAGTTTATTGATATACATTGAGAATAAAGTAGTTTGATTAAATTGTTTTAAAGTAACTCTAAAAACATTATGCGTGCACTTTACCTACCCATATCCAGAGGGTTAAATAACAGAGCTGTACTGAACTTAATTTTCAATAGATTGTTCTTGGTGTAAGAACTATGATTCCTGTCATACCCAACTATTGTACTTTCTGTAATAAGGGTTCATACACAAGATGTGTAAGTGTAACTTGAATTTACAACTTTGATATATTCATGTGTGATCAGCTCTTATTATGGAACTTTAAAAGTATTTGTCTGGCATTGTCATTATCCTGAACAAACATGACGTGTTCAGATTGTTGTTATATAAAAGTTTAAATTAATGGTTAAGTTTCTGCTTGACAAGTTATTCATTCTTTCTGTTAGATTTTGAAACTGATAAATACTTCAACAACAAAATAAATAATATAGAAAGTAGTTTTATTGCTAAATAATTTACCATGTTGTATCTTGTTCCAGATGAGTGACAGGATAGTGACTCCACGTGACACCACAATGACCTTTACTTGCTTTGTATTTTTTGACATGTTTAATGCTCTTAGCTGCAGATCACAGGTAAGGGATTGGATATTGAGAGAGAAAAAAAAACTTATACATTTTTCATACAAAGTGATGCAAAAGTCGCACACACACTACCATGGTATTTCTAATCCATGTTTATGTTTCATTAACTATCACTTTTTCTTTGTGTTATAGTAATAATTCATTTGAATTTGTTAATTCTGTTAAGATATATCAACAGTGCATATTTTGAACTGCTGTTAGGACAAAACCTAGAAATGTATGGTGGTGCATGACCTTTGATCACCCTACTTATATAAAATAGTAGCACATAAAAGTATTGTAAAAATAGAGTTGAAATAAACCTTGCACACTCTTTATGATAAGCAAATTATGTATATAATAGGGGTGGCAAATAGATTTTAACTGGCATGCCAAAATAAAATAAGTGTTGTATAGTTTCAGATGTGCCATGTATTTATATATGGACATACCTATATTTATTAATTTCTAGAGTTACAATATTCCATGTTCTAAGTACTGAATTATTTATTTATCAATTTGTGATATTTTTTAAATCACTTTTAATGAAAGTTCTATAATGTTTGGCCTGTAACTTATTGACATAGATTCTTGTATCCATTTTCTCTTTTTTCAAAAACGTTCCTTCATTATTGCTAAGTTCCATCCTATTTGCCATCCTAGGTATATAAGATAAGCATGACTTGATTATGTGATGGCAGGTAATCCTATGAATAACGGATATATTAATGAACTTTGGAAATTATGGTATAAGCTACAACCTTTAATAAAAATGTCTTTGTATTATAAATTTTACCCTGTGAAGTACATTAGAATTGGAAACCTGTAGACATCCAAGATTTCAGTGATTAAACTATTGGATATTATTGAACAATCTTGCTGCTTTCTTCCTGTAGCTATAAATTTATTTTTCATTAAAACATGTTGACTTTTCTTATAACGTTCATTCTTCATAGTTTTAGTACTCTTTCTAGAAAACATAACTTTGAAGTATGACTATTTATATTTTTCTCTGGTAGACCAAATCTATTTTCACCATTGGATTTTTCACCAATCGGATGTTCCTGTTCGCTGTTACAGGATCAGTGATTGGTCAGTTATTAGTGATTTACTTTCCTCCACTTCAACACATATTCCAGACTGAAGCTCTTTCTGCATCAGGTGAGTTTATAAGTCACAAGTTTCAATAAGTAAGTAAGATTGGCTTTATTGGTGTAAGATAGCACTATCTCACACACTAGTAGACGTGTGTAAAAAAAAATTAGAGTTATTGTAATAAAATTATAGTGTGCACACACACACACACACACACGCATAATATGATATTATAGTTGGCTGTGCTAATTCATTAATCAAATTTGACTAATACAGGCAAAAAGTACAAGAATATCAGTTTTTAATTGGTAAAAATTTAAATGAAATCGTTTATAATTCAAATGTTAAAAAATTTAGCTAAATGAGTATTGAATAGCCTTATATCAGTAGTAAAACTTTATATATATATAAAGTATATGGTTATCTTGTGATTTCAGTATGAAACATGTGTGCATATTTAATGTATAAGTCACTGTCACTTGATGCAGTAGTCAAAGTGAAGGACAATGTGAAGTTAGAAATCATAAAACCAATATTGTCATTTGTGTAACATAAAACTAAGTAAGTTATTAACATAGTAAGCCATGTCAGCTTTGTATTGTCTTGTAGCATATCTGTTTAACTTACATAATTTATATAGTTTTTCTATAGCCAATTAGTTTTCTTTTTTCTGGCTATTAAAATTTCACACTTACTATCACCAATATTTTTACCATTGTTTTGTCTCTCCAGTAAACATTAATAACAATGTATAACTTCATTTATATATGATTACAATAGCACACTTTTCATATATGCTAGTGAAGTAAATTCTTGTATGGACTTCTAGATATACTTAGCAATATTCTACTATAATTGCCAATTCTGAAAGAATTAAATGTAGTGGGAAAATATAGATGTAAAAAGGACAGGATATGCTGTATATATTTTGCAGATTCTATGCTATATGTAAAACTACAGTTATAAACAGGGTTTTCATGCATTCTTGAAACTGTAAAAATTCAAAAGTTTCACTTAATAATTTCCTGGTCTAGAAATATTTGGGAGAATAATTTTTTAAATCTGTAGTGTTGTATTCATTTGCATTCCGAGTTTATTTCGTCTGCTCATTGTGAAGCATATGTTGCAACATTATGTACAATTTATGGATTGCGTGATGTATGGCATAACCCTATGTACAGATGCATCTTACCAGGAAGTGCCACACAGTGAATGGGGTTTGCTATAATTAAATGATGATAAATTTGTGTGTGTATTTGTGACTTGCCACCCAGGGTGATGATGTTTTGACTTTAAACAAGCATTTCTCGGGTAAACTCCTCTTATAACACATATTTATAGGGCAGCGATGGTTGTAGAGTCAATTGTATTTAACAGTGATATTTTAGATATCTTAGTCTCGATGGTAACTATAACCTCATAGTTATTGACCTTTAACTTATTACAAATTTATGAATTCTTCTTTTCTGAAAGTGTGGGAACCCTGTATAAACTCAGTATCTTGAATTTTGGAAGCTTTACACATAAAAAACGTAGTTGTAGTGAATATTTTATTATTAATATTTAATGTTTTCTTGTTGCACAAAATTAAATTTTGTATTCAAAACTCCTGTGTTGTAACTGGTTTTCAATTTTCAACAAATCAGAAGATAAGAAGCTTGTTAGAACAATCATATTATGATGTAAGTGGGCAAAATATTTTAGTTAATGCCATTTAAGTTTTATTCCTTTCACAATTATTTATACAAGGCTTTCTCTTTTCAGATGTGTTACTTCTTGTTGTTGTGGCATCCACAGTTTTTATTGCTTCAGAGTTGAAAAAATTTGTAGAAAGACTGATAGCTAGACGCCGACGCCTTAAACATCATTTTGGTACAGATTTTGTCTGACATCACCAATCAGGTTAAAATTACTTGAGAGCTTTATAATTTATCACCAAAAATAGGAATGAGAGTATGAACAATGATGTGCTGGATAACGTTTCCAAAGGAGAAAAGTCTGTAATTGAAACTTTTTTTTAGAATACACTATCTAAGTAATTATTAGGAAAATGCAACATTGAAACCACAAATGGAGAGTTAAGTGAAAGAATTTGTATTTTTCATCATTTCATTATACAGTGATTGGTCCTTGTATATAAACAAATTATTTTATAGGTAACACATTTTAATGATATCTGAGAAAGTCTTAATGAAGATCTCTAATCACTATTTGGAAAGAGAAAATATAAATTGAAGGTGATAAGTAATTTTGACAAAAAACACCAGTGTTTTGGCCATTAACCTACTTGTATATGAGGTTTAGAAAGTAACTTATTTTATTGTAGTGCAGAACTACTTGTTACTTTTGATACAAAATATTTTTTCTGAAATTTACTTGTGATTAAGAATACTAGAGCTGACATAATTTGGACATTGTGTATTGAAAAGCACAATGGGATTTTAATTACATCAAAATTCGAAGTGTTGAGCAGGTTTTGTGTTTTATTTCAGTATAGTGTGAACAGTATTGCTAATCTCAGGTACACCGAACAAATACCTGGTTTTCACTTTTTGTGGGTTAAAGTACCTTTCTAGAAGTGGTGATACTTTAGAAGGTTTGTAAGTAGATATTGTTATATACACTTGTGTAAGGAAGCACATTACACTAATATAATATTAAATTGATCAAAAAACTATTTATAAACATAATTGTGGTTTTATTTGGAGGGAGAGGTACTACGTGTTTTGGCAGAACATTTGAAAAAGAAAAAGACATTCTGTCAAAATGTGTATTATGTTACCCAAAATAAAGCCATTTCATTATGCTTGTGAATCATTGTCAATTGATTGTTGATATAGGCAGTTATATTTATAAAAAGTTTCACATTCTGATGAACCAAGATGAAATTATTTTGAATTCCATGTTTACGATATTGAAGCTTGCCACCCATTAAGTGCTATTGGTGTAATGCTGTATTATGATAACTACTAAGGACAGAATTGTCTTTAGGGCACTAGAAAACCACTGTGGTCTCTCTAACTTTAGTTAGACGTTTAAATTGTTTTATGAAAAAAAAAGCTTTAGGAATATGTTGCATATAAAAAAAATAAAAAGTAAAAAAAATGGTTTTTAGTTGTGGTGATTGTTTGGAGCATTTCATACTGTCCAGTTGTAACAAAAGTGGTTAAAATTTTTTGAAGTTAGAATATTAATATTGTTTTTCTAATAAACAAAATTCACACCTTTCACAAAAAAAAACAAGTTTTTCAGGTTCACCTTAACCAATGAGCATATCTGGAAGGGTGCAAGATATTTTGCACCAGTCTTTTCAGTGTCAAACTGTTGTTTCAAGTTGATATGAAAAATATTAATTTTGTTTTAAAGCATTTGATAAGTCCAGTAGATATAATTTTGTATATAATATTGGAATTTTACTGAAGTTGGTAGCTGTTGTAACATTTCAGAATACTTTATGGGAAGAGTAAGTGTAGAATTAATCCTATCATTTTTGAAAAGCCGCTTGTAAACATTTTAGGGTTCTTACGGGAGGTGATTCTTTTCATCACAGCTTGTAGAAAATCTTAATTCATTAGACTATTAGATGTGGTTAAAAATAAAGATTAACTTCAGCCTTATATTCTTTTTTACTCTGAAAATATATCAGTTAAAGTTTTACATTTGAAAGACTGAAATTAGGTACAGATATTTTCACAGTAAAATGAGATCTCTTTTTATCATTTTTTGAACAAGTTGCTTGAAAGTATACTAGATTCTGCAATCCAAAGTTTTTAAATCCTGGACCCACTTTTATAAGTGTGAACTGTCAACTAGTGCCACCTTTAGAATGCATTGTTTGTTTTGGACATTATTCTTCTTCTGTGTCATTTTTTATTTAATTAAAGTACGTGTACAAAAACCAATTTCATGTGTTATGAATAACCAATATGATAATTTGATCTAATCTCAATTTAGCAAATTTAAAAATTTCACAGAAATCAACCACACTGATTTCCATTGTTCATTTTTTACCAATGAATTGAAATCAAACAACTTTGTAAAAATCAATTTGAAGAGTCTTCTTCACATCCAATAAAATAATATAGTAAATTAGACAATGCATGTGATAAATGTACTCAACTCAGAAAAATACAACATTTTTAATAATCAACTTTTTAAATCACGCCTTGAATGAAATTCAAAAGAAAACATTAGCAGGTAGTCTAAACTTTGTTATTCCTCCTTGAAATATACATTGAAACAAAACTTATGGTCTGGTAGTTTCAAATAGTTTAATAAGCATTACAACTCCAGCAAGTGGTATATATTTATTTTTTATCATTATGGTTCTGAATATGAACCTACTAACCTAAGCAGAAATAACAAAATAGCTATAATAATGAAACCTGATTATTGAAATGGTGTATTTATGTTGAATAATACAACAAATTCTGTTCAATTGAAAATTGATACTATTAAAACTAAAGAAACTGAATCATAGAATTATTTAAAAAAAAGATTATTTATTAACATAAGAATAGTGTGTAAAGCCTTCATATGGTCACCCAGGTATTTTGTATGGTGTTTCAAAAATATAAAAGTTATCCTGTTAGACTGAAGATTTTAACATGTAAAAACATGCTAATTTGTTAGTTAAGTTTATTGAACAATTTAAACAATAAATAAATCATTAGAGATATTTTATTTCTAATGAATTATGGAATATAAATGTTGATAAGGATGTTTACTGTGGAAGATTTGATGTAGAGTGCTCTGTACACTAACATCCCTTTGAAAACAACCTAACAGTGAATCAGAATGATAATATACAAAGTTTCCTGTGTACCTCCTGTACACTTTTTAAGACCTGCTACCAAAGAATCTGATGGAATCTGGTTATGTATTGTTTTGCACATAAATAATTTTTTTTATCTTTTGAGATGGTGACCTTTCAACCCAAAAGATCAATAAGTTTCCCCAGCCACAAGGGAAATTTGACCTGTGAAATTTGATTATTTTTTTTTAGAACTCTAGTTATGTGAAAAATAAATGTTTATGGATACATGAAAAACTTTTAGAATTTACTTTTAAAACCCAAGAAGTTGTATATTAAAATGAACTACACATTTTCAAGTTAAACAGACTTTAAAAAACAAAACTGTGGGTTGATAAGAGAGTTCTGTGGTAATTGGCTTAATTATAAATCACTTCTGATATATTTCACTTTATTTAATTCCTTTTGGTATTTTAATGTTAAAGTTTTATCATGAATTTTGCATTTTTATCTTCTGCCCCAGAAAATTTTTATTGCAGATTGATCAACCACAAAGATTCACAATACATGTGCAATTCATAAACTAGATGGATACTAAATAAAAGTTTTTACCACAGAAAAAAACGATAAATTTCACAGAACCCAGAAGCCTAGTATAATGTACCTATTAATTGTTCAACAACCTTGAAATGCCACAGAATTTCCAATTCCTCTTTTTTTCTGATCTGTTTAAATTATGTTTCACCTTAAAAAAACTATCTCAATTGCATAATACTCTACATCATTTTTAATGGCTTATACTCTATGAAACATATGTAATTACATTACCTCCCCTCATCATTCCAGGGGATATTCCTGGAGGTGGGCCACCCATAATGGGCTACATCGGTGGGATAGTGCAGAAACAGAAGCACATTGCTGCTGTGGGGTCATGTTGTCTTGAGAAGGACCTCTTATTCCTCAGACTGGACGCTGTAAGCCTTGGAGATTACATAAATAAATACTGCTGTTATTGGTTTAATAATGCACTTTTGTCATTTGGATCTATTGTCCAATCTCATTTTAGTAAATACTTTCACAATTCACAAAATAATAAAATAAAATAGTTTCTACAAGTTTAATGTAGTTTTGTACTTTGAATAGGTCAGCAAACATCTAGATTCTAAATTATGTTTGCTCATTTAAAATAAACGATTTAAGAAATATATGCAGTTCACATCTATTCCAAAACTACAATGAAGTTATACCAGTGAAAAAAAAAACAAAAAAAACCCTATTAAATCCATCTTATTTTGTCAATTATAGTTTACTTCCTCCCACTTTTTATTTTATTGATTACCTAACGGACACAAAAATTAATATATAAAGTATTACAAGTTACAAAAAAAACATTCTATAACTAGCAGTTGCTGGGGCAGCTGGTATTCCTCGCCCAGCAGCTAAGCCTATTCCAGACATTGGAACAGCGTCAGGAATTTGAATTCTTGGTAATTCTTCCTGTAAAACAACAAGAAGCTGAAACTAACTTCTTTATCCTAACCGCTATGTGAAAACTAACTAAAACAAGGTTTCTATTGGTCTTAACACAAGTACAATTTCTGGGAATGCAAAGTGTTCACATAAATACCAATTTTGCCCATCTCTGGGAGTGGGCTAGCAATATCCAACAATTCTCTGCTGAAATTTACTCTGCTTAGGTCAAATTTTCCTCACGATTCACAATAATACTGAACGTTGTGACTTAAATGCCGTCAGAAGAACCATCTTTAAACGTTAGTATAAGTTCATGTAACATCTTATACTAATACATATGATTTAACGACAACAAGGAACCTGTTGTTTCATATAGGCCATCCCATCCAATAAACTAGGCTTTAAAATAAAATAATGAAAGCCAATCTCTATTACTAATATATTTATAAACCCTCCTCTTAGACTCCTTGAAATTTACTGCATTCACAAATCTGTAGGCAACCAGTTCCAAGGGCCAACCACCCTGTTGGAAAAGTAAACCAAAAGTAAGGCTGTCTGAACTGAAGATGACTCCTACTCTCACAAAATTTATAGTTATGTCCCCTAGTCCTACCGTTCTCCCTATTAAGTATGAAAAAAGATGATACACCAATTCTATGAACAACCTCAATCAGATCCCAAATAACTTTATTTTTTCAAGAGAAAACAGTTTCAGAGATCTGAATATGTCTTCATATGACAAGCTTTCGAACCAAGGTATCACCTTAATAGACCTCCTTTGAGCCCCTTTCCACTATTCAATGCCCTCTCTAAGATAAGGACCCTAAGATTGAACACAATACTGCAAATGTAGCTTAATCAAGGACATATACAATAATATTATAACCTTTTAAGGCTTGTATTCAATATTTCTGTACATACAATCTAAAACCATATTTGCCTTGCTACTAGCAACATTTGAGATAGGGATTTTGAGCCCATTAGTATATTAATTGCTCTGGTATGTGATCTTTCCTGTTTCTATGAAGAACAAGGAAAACTTCCTTAGAATTGTTGTATGTTTTTCATACTAAATCGTTTAATAATTTTGTTACATAAATACTTCTCTTCGGAAAGAGCATTACATACTCCTTCTGCCACTGATCAAGTATGGAGGTATTTAACAACCTCGGTTAGTTCAGTTTCCTTTTGTATATGGAACAGATATTCGTGTATCATTTCTCGAATCATCGCAATATTTGCAAGGTAATAGTGCCTAATTTAAATGTATTTAATTTGTAAACTAACTCTAAAGAGGTAAATAGAGCATAGTGATATAATTACTAGCTTCAAATTTGTGTGAAACAGTTTAATTGGTATTAAATATATATCTTAAAATAATGTAATTTAAAAAAAAATACAACTGTTACTTTTACCAGAAATATTCATAAATAATTATTATTCTACTTTTTATTTTGAACAACTAATTATTTCGAAACTCATTCAGTTGAATTTCACATTTCAAGACACTATGCTCTGCATAAATTGCAAATTGTTTTATAAATAGTAACTTAGCTCAGTGCTTGTGAATCTAGAGTATGTGAAAAAAATACACTTCTAACATTATAACCAAAAAATTTAATTAAATTTTGAATTTGTGGAGAAACTTCTCCTCTGTCTTCGTATGTATATGAGGATTCTGATTCGAATAGCAAAGCACATGTATCAATATTAAACAAGTCTCATCTTTATATTTATTTTTTTCCTAGAGGTCTATTCTTTTTTTGGGGCTCCTTTGACATCCTTTTTTTTTATCACTTGCCAGGAATTTGAACTCTCGTATGTTTTGGGTTTTTTCCTCCACCTTGCGCACCCTGAACGGCACATGAGATAATAAGTTAAATCAAAGTTCCTAAGGCTCAAGCAAAGCCATCTCTAATTTTGAATTACTGATACGATGAGGGAATAACTAGTTATCGGCACCAGCCGCTTACACGGCTATATTTAACAAAATAGCGTGGTGAGATTGACTGTCACATTTATAATGCACCCACAACTGAATTCCTTGGCATGGACTATGGCCTCATAAAATTTAAGCTCTGGTTTTCTAGAAAGGGTGAAAGCCCCATTGTATAGTCGTTTTTTTTTTCTCTGTACTTTGGTGATCACCGTCTATTCAAACTACCACTGCTTTTAATGTTACTTTAAAGAAAACTAAAGGTGGATGACCATACTCAAGGACGATTGCTTGACGTTCTATAATCATGGAGGAGTCAATGATTCAGTTCCATAAAATGTAGATACCTGTACATTATTTAAGGTAAGTAATTAACTTATGATTCTGATTGATATTAGGGCTTCTTCAATTGCCCGAGAACATTATGACCCCATAGTTACTAATGGTGAGGCATGTCTGGAAGTATGTTTGTAGTTGAGCACAAAGCTACACAATGGACTATCTGTGCTCTGCCCACAACGGGTATCGAAACACGGTTTCTAGTGTTGTGACTCCACAGACATACCGCTGTACCACTGGGGGGCTGTCTGGAAGTATTCCAGAGGAATGGTAAGTAAGTAAATCATGATTCTGATTGTACAATTACGTCGCCAGTAATAATGAGACCAACCAACATATCTGGACATATTTCAGAGTAATGGAACTGATTGATAACTCCGTAGCAACTAATTATAAATATG